TGAAAAAATTAACGAATTATTAACGAATTACGAATTAATGAAACGAAACCGCCCAGCCCTATTGTTTACTGCTTCCCTGGAGACTAGGACGCAATGGAACAATGGCTTCAAGTTACAAGAAACGAGATTCCACCTGAACATGAGGAAGACTGTGAGAGCTGTTCAGCAGTGGAACTCTCTGCCCCGGAGTGTGGTGGAGGCTCCTTCTTTGGAAGCTTTTAAACAGAGGCTGGATGGCCCTCTGTCAGGGGTGCTTTGAATGCAATATTCCTGCTTCTTGGCAGAATGGGGTTGGACTGGGGTCTCTTTCAACTCTAGGTCTCTTCCAACTCTTTGATTCTAGGATTCTGCACTGAGTGTTTGGTGTGGTTTCTCCTGACTGCTTCCATTCACTGGACTGTGTGTACACAGAGGTGGAGGAAATATTTAAACAGTAACTTTATCTCAAGTCCTGGCCGGCCATATCGCTGGCCTGCAAACTCTCCCACTTTGTGGAGCTCTATTGTGCTTTGTTTGAGGTTCACCTCCAACAAGAATACGCTCTTAAGCTGCATAAACTTTAGACAAACACTTCATTCAATGTAATGTTTTCACAGGTCCAACAAAGGCCCGGCTTCTGTTTCTCACCAAATCCTCCATCAAGGTATTGTGGCTTGAGGATGATGATGATGATGATGATAATAATAATAATTTATTTATCATGTCAGTATCAACCAGACAATTGTATTACATTTTTAACAAATTTTTAACAAACAGACAAAACAGAGTTTGCAAGCTTGGTAGTTGATTAAATGTCCTTTGATCAGTATCTGGCCCCTTGGAGTGCCTCTGGTGTTGCTGCAAGAAGGTCCTCCCTGGTGCATCATGTGTCAGGGCTCAGGGTGCATTGCAGCAGGTGGTCAGTGGTTTGCTCTTCTCCGCACTCGCATGTCATGGATTCCACTTTGTGGCCACATTTCTTGAGGGTGGCTCTGCATCTCGTGGTGCCTGAGCGTAGTCTGTTCAGCGGCTTCCAAGTCGCCCAGTCTTGTGTGCCCAGGGGAGAGTCTCTCATTTGGTCTCAGCCATTGGTTGAGGTTCTGGGTTTGAGCCTGCCACTTTTGGACTCTTGCTTGCTGAGGTGTTAAAGCGTGTGTCTTTGTAGATCTCAGAAAATTATTTCATGATTTAAGTCGTTGACGTGCTGGCTGATACCCAAACAGGGGATGAGCTGGAGATGTCACTGCCTTGGTCCTTTCACTATTGGCTGCCACTTCCTGGCATATGTCAGGTGGTGCAATACCGGCTAAGCAGTGTCATTTCTCCAGTGGTGTGGGGCGCAGACACCCCATGATAATGCGGCAAGTCTCATTAAGAGCCACATCTACTGTTTTAGCGTGGTGAGATGTGTTCCACACCGGGCATGCATACTCAGTAGCAGAGTAGCATAGCACAAGGGCAGATGTCTTCACTGTGTCTGGTTGTGATCCCCAGGTTGTGCCAGTCAGCTTTCATATGATATTGTTTCTGGCACCCACTTTTTGTTTGATGTTCAGGCAGTGCTTCTTGTAGGTCAGGACACGGTCCAGAGTGACTCCTCCCAGGTATTTGGGTGTGCTGCAATGCTCCAGTGGGATTCCTTCCCAGGTAATTCTCAGAGCTCGGGATGCTTGTCTGTTCTTGAGATGAAAGGCACATGTCTGTGTTTTAGATGGATTAGGAATCAGCTGGTTTTCCCTGTAATAGGCAGTAAGAGCGCCTAGAGCTTCGGAGAGCTTCTGTTCAATCATCTCAAAGCTCCCTGCTTGAGCAGTGATGGCACGATCATCAGCATAGGTGAAACTCTCTGTCCCTTCTGGCAGTGGCTGGTCATTTGTGTAGATGTTGAACTTGGATGGAGCAAGCACGCTTCCCTGAGGCAGGCCGTTCTTCTGTTTCCGCCACCTGCTTCTCTGGCCCTGGAACTCAACAAAGAATCTCCTGTTTTGTAGCAAGTTTCCTATGAGGCGGGTGAGGTGGTCGTCCTTTGTGATATTAGACATTTTTCTCAGGAGGAGGCAGCAGTAGTTCACAGTCTCATAAGCCGCTGACAGGTCTATGAAGACAGCTCCTGTGATCTGCTGCCTTTCAAAGCCATCTTTGAGTCAGGTTCAGCACTTGCAATGTGCAGCTTTTGCCTTTCCTGAAGCCAGCTTGCTGTGGAATCAGACAGGGGTCTATTTTTTCCGTAATTCTATGCAAAATAAGTCTCTCTTGAACTTTGTAGAGGTGGCACAACAGGGAGATTGGTCTGTAGCTTTTAGGGTAATTACGGTCTTTGCCTGGCTTCAAGATGGCGATGACTCTTGCTTTCCTCCAGATTTTGGGGATCTGACAGGATGCAGTGCAGTTGTTCATCAGCTCCAGCAGCCAGCGCCTTGCTTTGGGACCAAAGTTCTTGATTTGTTCCATCCGTAGACCATCCAGGCCAGCTGCTTTGCCATTTTTTACATTTATTGAGAGCCATGTCCAATTCAGTAGATGTAAAGGGTTCATGAAGGTTGTTGTTCTCAGTCTCTGGTTGTCTGGCTATTGGTTTTTTTCCTACTTTGGTGGCAAAGTTGGGTTTCCCATTCTTCAAGAGTTGGTGTGCTATCTGATCTGCCTTTATGTTGGCATGGGTATGAGTTTGTGAGGGGTCGTTGCTCAACCGTTTTAGCCACCTCCACACCTTCTGGCTGCTCCTGCCCATGTCGACCTCTGTGATCAGCTTGATCCACTGTCCTTTCTTGGCTTCAGAGATGGAGGACATAATGCTCTGAGCTGCCTGAAGGGTTTGCTCACTAAATGGATCTTCATTGTGGAGCCTGTAATACTTTTCCAACAAGGCAGCTGTTTCAGGAGTAATGCCCTGAAGGTCGTTGGTTCTACAAAAAGAAAGTCATCTTCAACCTCAGCAAGACGGAGTGGATGAGGGATTTGAGGACATCCAACTCCAAATTGGGAAACAAGTCGTACAGGAATACCTGGCCGCTCTTTCAGGGCCAGATCAACTACACCCAAGAGTATTGAAGGAAGTAACGGAAGTCATCTCGGAACCATTGGCAACCATCTTTAAGAGTTCTTGGAGAACGGGAGAAGTTCCAGCAGATTGGAGGAGGGCCAATGTGGTCCCAATCTTCAAGAAGGGAAAAAAGGATGACCCAAACAATGACCAATGTCCGGTCAGCCTCACGTCGATATCGGGCAAGATTCTGGAAAAGATTGTTAAGGAAGCGGTCTGCAAACACTTAGAAACAAATGCAGTCATCGCTAATAGTCAACATGGATTTATCAAAAACAAGTCATGCCAGACTCATCTGATCTCTTTTTTCGATAGAGTTACAAGCTGGGTAGATGCGGGGAATGATGCCGTGGATGGAGCGTGTCTGGATTTCAGGAAGGCCTTCTTTGACAAGGTCCCCCATGACCTTCTGGCAAGGAAACTAGTCCAAGGTGGGCAAGGCAAAACTACGGTGAGATGGATCTGGAATTGGTTAAATGGATGAACCCAGAGGGTGCTCACTAATGCTTCCTCTTCATCCTGGAAAGAAGTGACGAGTGGAGTGCCAAGCAGGGTTCCGTCCTGGGCCCGGTCCTGTTCAACATCTTTATTAATGACTTAGATGAAGGGTTAGAAGGCAGGATCATCAAGTTTGCAGACGACACCAAATTGGGAGGGATAGCCAATACTCCAGAGGACAGGAGCAGGATTCAAAACGATCTTGACAGATTAGAGAGATGGGCCAAAACTAACAAAATGAAGTTCAACGGGAACAAATGCAAGATACTCCACTTTGGCAGGAAAAACAAAATGCAAAGGTACAGAATGGGGGACAATGCCTGGCTCGAGAGCAGTACGTGTGAAAAAGATCTTGGAGTCCTCGTGGACAACAAGTTAAACATGAGCCAACAATGTGATGTGGCGGCAAAAAAAGCCAATGGGATTTTGGCCTGCATCAAGAGGAGCCTAGTGTCTAGGTCCAGGGAAGTCATGCTCCCCATGCTCTATTCCGCTTTGGTTAGACCACTTTACCTGGAATATATTGTGTCCAATTCTGGGCACCAGAATTCAAGAGAGATATTGACAAGCTGGAATGTGTCCAGAGGAGGGCGACTAAAATGATCAAGGGTCTGGAGAACAAGCCCTATGAGGAGCTTAAGGAGCTGGGCATGTTTAGCCTGAAGAGAAGGCTGAGAGGGGATATGATAGCCATGTATAAATATGTGAGAGGAATCCACAGGGAGGAGGGAGCAAGCTTGTTTTCTGCTTCCCTGGAGACTAGGACGCGGAACAATGGCTTCAAACTACAAGAGAGGAGATTCCATCTGAACATGAGGAAGAACTTCCTGACTGTGAGAGCCGTTCAGCAGTGGAACTCTCTGCCCCGGAGTGTGGTGGAGGCTTCTTCTTTGGAAGCTTTTAAACAGAGGCTGGATGGCCATCTGTCAGGGGTGATTTGAATGCAATATTCCTGCTTCTTGGCAGAATGGGGTTGGACTGGATGGCCCAAGAGGTCTCTTCCAACTCTTTGATTCTATGATTCTATGATTTGTACGCTGTGTTGCTCGTATATCGTACGTCATCCCGTCACTGTGGAATGTAAGGAGGTGCCGGATTCTTGATAACAACGAGAGCCGAACCATGTAGCCGCTCGAGATGTTTCTTGTTCTGCTTAGCTTCTAGTGTAAATACTATTTTTGTTTTGTGTTTAATAAAGTAGTTTTTAGACAAGAAGATGTGTTTCAGTGCCTTGTGTGTGCTGAGATCGCCGCCATTCCATTGACAAGCTGCTCTAGCCGAATTTGCATCAGTACTGCGTGAACGCAAAACCACCCCAAAATATCAAACTGTGATATATTGCTTTGGCGACCCCCTGAAACCTTCTCACGACCCCCCGCCAAGGGTCCTGACCCCCAGGTTGAGAAACGTTGGTCTAGCCATATTTTCCTCAATGCCGTGTGACCACCCCAAAATATCCAACTGCGACATACTGTTTTTTAGTTTTCGAAGAGACACCTCCTTCTCTTTTAATTTTCAACAAAAATAAACTTTACTGATCTCGGAACGATTTTTCTTTACATTAACATTATACAAGGGACGAGAACGCTTAAGTTAAACAAAACTCCCCCAAAACATGTTGAGAAATAAAGCTTTTCAGGGTAAGGTTGATGGATTGGGGTGGTTCTCTTGCTATCCAGTTATGCCACAAAGTCCAAAACATAGTGATGTGCAAATAACCTTCTCCATCCAATGGGAGGTATGCTTGAAATAAACATGATGGTCAGTATAATGTGAAATGATGAGGTTCTTGACTTCAGGACTAATGAAGAGAAAGGGATTCGCTATACATTGGAACCAAATTTTGGTTTTATTTTGCTGTAATATGTTGTCCGAGCTTGTCCTCATGTAAGCCGCCCCGAGTCCCCGTTGGGGAGATGGCGGAGGGGTATAAATAAAGAGTATTATTATTATTATTATTATTATTATTATTATTATCTGTACCTGCCACGCGTTGGTGTGGCCAACCTTTCCTCCTTCTTTCCCTCCCTCCCTCCCTCCCTCCTTCATCTTCTTTCCTTCTCTACCTCTTTCCTTCCCCCTTTTTGTTTTCCTTCCACTTTCTCTCCTTTCTTCCTTCTCTATCCCTTTTCCTCCTTCCTTCCATTTTTGCTTCCATGCTTCGTTCTTTTTCCTTCTTTCCTTCCCTCCCTCTTTCTCTTTCTTTCCTTCCTTCGCTCTCATCTTTCCGCACTTTTTCTTTTCCTTCCTCTTTCTCTCCTTTCTTCCTTCTCTACCTCTTCGCTTCCTTCCTTTGCTCCCATGCTTCCTTCTATTTTTCCTTCTTTCTTTCCTTCCCTTTTTCTCTCCTTTCTTTCTTTCTTTCTCTTTCTTTCTTTCTTTCTTTCTTTCTTTCTCCCTTTCCCTCCCTCCGTCCTTCCTTTTTCTTCTTTCCTTCTCTCCTTCCTTCTCTACCTTTCCTTCCCCTTTTTTCTTTTCTTTCCACTTTCTCCTTCTTCCTTCTCCACCTCTTTCCCTCCTTCCTTCGCTTTTTGCTTCCATGCTTCGTTCTTTTCCCTTCTTTCCTTCCCTCCCTCTTCCTCTTTCTTTCCCTCCTTCCTTCACTCCCATCCTCCCCCCTTTTCCTTCCACTTTCTCTCCTTTCTTCCTTCTCTACCTCTTTCCCTCCTTTCGCTTTTTGCTTCCATGCTTTGTTCTTTTTCCTTCTTTCCTTCCCTCCCTCTTCCTTTCTTTCCCTCCTTCCTTCACTCCCATCCTCCCTCCCTTTTTCTTTTCTTTCTCTTTCTCTCCTTTCTTCTTCTCTACCTCTTCCCTTCCTTCCTTCGCTTACATGCTTCCTTCTATCTTTCCTTTTTTCTTTCCTTCCCTTTTCTCTCCTTTCTTTCTTTCTTTCTTTCTTTTTTTCTTTCTCCCTTTCCCTCCTTCCTTCTTCTTCTTTCCTTCTCTCCTTTCTTCCTTCTCTACCTCTTTCCCTCCTTCCTTTGCTTTTTGCTTCCATACTTCGTTCTTCTCTCTTTCCCTCCTTCCTTCACTCCCATCCTTCCCCCCTTTTTCTTTTCCTTCCTCTTTCTCTCCTTTCTTCTTCTCTACCTCTTCCCTTCCTTCCTTCGCTCCCATGCTTCCTTCTATCTTTCCTTCTTTCTTTCCTTCCCTTTTTCTCTCCTTTCTTTCTTTCTTTCTTTCTTTCTTTCTCCCTTTCCCTCCTTCCTTCTTCTTTCCTTCTCTCCTTCCTTCTCTACCTCTTTCCTCCCCCCTTTTGTTTTTCTTCCACTTTTTCTCCTTTCTTCCTTCTCTACCTCTTTCCCTCCTTCTTTCGCTTTTTGCTTTCATGCTCTCGTTCTTTTCTTCTTTCCTTCCCTCCCTCTTCCTCTTTCTTTCCCTCCTTCCTTCACTCCCATCCTCCCCCCTTTTCCTTCCACTTTCTCTCCTTTCTTCCTTCTCTACCTCTTTCCCTCCTTCCTTCGCTTTTTGCTTCCATGCTTCGTTCTTTTTCCTTCTTCCCTTCCCTCCCTCTTCCTCTTTCTTTTCCTCCTTCCTTCACTCCCATCCTCCCCCTTTTCCTTTTCCTTCCTTTCTCTCCTTTCTTCCTTCTCCTCTTCCTCTCCTTCCTTCTCCCATGCTTCCTTCTTTCTTTCCTTCCTTTTCTCTCCTTTCTTTCTTTTTTCTTTCTTCTCCTTCCTTCTCTCCTCCCTCTTCCCTCTTCCTTTTTTCCTGTATTGCCATTTAGCTTTTCATCATTTAGCTTTTTTTTTTTGGGGGGGGGGGCGATTACGGGGTTTATGAGCAATGGTCACTCGTTGGTCTGTTAGGGGTATAGTGCTCAAATTTCATGTCAATTTATCCAGTGGTTTTTGAGTTATGTTAATCCCAAAAATGAACATTACATTATTATTATTATTATTATTATTATTATTATTATTATTATTATTATTATTATTCCAGAGTGGCAACCAATGCAAAAACCATGTGGAGAAACCAAAGACCATTCCAACGAGAGAGAACTTCACCATTATGAGCCACACTGACTTTCCTCATCTGTTTCTGAATGGGGTTAAGAGGGACTTACTTCCAGGAAACGGATCAACATGTTATATTTTCCGTGACAAGAGCCGAGCATGGGAGCCCGATGCTTTCAAAGAACAGGGAGGGAAACAAAACGTCGAAAGGCGAGATATGAACACTATTTTTTTATATGCAGGAGGAGAGGCTGATGCGATGTTCTCTCAAACTCCCACAAAGAACAGAGGGAGGAATGACAGGAAACCCTGCATCAGCTGCTCCTGTCAAGGAAAGAAAGAAATCAAGAAAGGAAGAGAAGAAGAGCTTTGTCTTCCTTCCCTTCTGGCAACTTGTGTGAATCTCAAGCAGGAGGCACTGCACCACCCAGCTAAGGGGAGAGGAGAAAATCGGGACTTAGATTCAAAGCCATTTGGAACTGTCGCCATATACAGCAGAGTCTCGCTTATCCAACCTTCACTTATCCGACATTACGTCTTATCCGACGCCCCTTTTTTCCTCCAGCATTTCCCCTTCAGTGAAAGGAGCGCTCCCTAACTCTCTTCTCCATATCGGGACTTAAATTCAAAGCCATAGACAGTAGAGTCTCGCTTATCCAACCTCCACTTATCCGACATTCCAGTCTTATCCGACGCCCCTTTTTTCCTCCAGCATTTCCCCTTCAGTGAAAGGAGCGCTCCCTAACTCTCTTCTCCATATCGGGACTTAAATTCAAAGCCATAGACAGTAGAGTCTCGCTTATCCAACCTCCACTTATCCGACATTCCATCTTATCCGACGCCCCTTTTTTCCTCCAGCATTTCCCCTTCAGTGAAAGGAGCGCTCCCTAACTCTCTTCTCCATATCGGGACTTAAATTCAAAGCCATAGACAGTAGAGTCTCGCTTATCCAACCTCCACTTATCCGACATTCCGTCTTATCCGACGCCCCTTTTTTCCTCCAGCATTTCCCCTTCAGTGAAAGGAGCGCTCCCTAACTCTCTTCTCCATATCGGGACTTAAATTCAAAGCCATAGACAGTAGAGTCTCGCTTATCCAACCTCCACTTATCCGACATTCCGTCTTATCCGACGCCCCTTTTTTCCTCCAGCATTTCCCCTTCAGTGAAAGGAGCGCTCCCTAACTCTCTTCTCCATATCGGGACTTAAATTCAAAGCCATAGACAGTAGAGTCTCGCTTATCCAACCTCCACTTATCCGACATTCCGTCTTATCCGACGCCCCTTTTTTCCTCCAGCATTTCCCCTTCAGTGAAAGGAGCGCTCCCTAACTCTCTTCTCCATATCGGGACTTAAATTCAAAGCCATAGACAGTAGAGTCTCGCTTATCCAACCTCCACTTATCCGACATTCTCTTATCCGACGCCCCTTTTTTCCTCCAGCATTTCCCCTTCAGTGAAAGGAGCGCTCCCTAACTCTCTTCTCCATATTGCGACTTAAATTCAAAGCCATAGACAGTAGAGTCTCGCTTATCCAACCTTCACTTATCCGGCAATCCGTCTTATCCGACGCCCCTTTTTTCCTCCAGCATTTCCCCTTCAGTGAAAGGAGCGCTCCCTAACTCTCTTCTCCATATTGCGACTTAAATTCAAAGCCATAGACAGTAGAGTCTCGCTTATCCAACCTTCACTTATCCGGCAATCCGTCTTATCCGACGCCCCTTTTTTCCTCCAGCATTTCCCCTTCAGTGAAAGGAGCGCTCCCTAACTCTCTTCTCCATATTGCGACTTAAATTCAAAGCCATAGACAGTAGAGTCTCGCTTATCCAACCTTCACTTATCCGGCAATCCGTCTTATCCGACGCCCCTTTTTTCCTCCAGCATTTCCCCTTCAATGAAAGGAGCGCTCCCTAACTCTCTTCTCCATTCCCAATCAGGCAAAACAAGGAGGAGGAGGGAAGAAAGGAGGAAAAGAGGCAGAACCGGAAGCGGAAACATCCTCCCTCCTTCCCTCTGTGATTCCCACGCTCCTCTTCCGCATTATCCGGGCGTTTCCTGCTGGGCCGCTCTAACACTTTCAGTCCCTCTTGCCTTAACACTTTCAGTGCCTCTTGTTAGTATTCTAGGTAGGAGACACGGTATTATCTGATATTTTTGTTTATCTGACATTCAGCCGGCACATTGATGTCGGATAAGCGAGACTCTACTGCAGGCATAAGCAAAAAATTTTGCCTTGGGGCCACATTGTGGGTCTGACTGAGAGCCGGGCCGGGAGGGAAGGTGGTCGGGCACATGCTGGGTGAGACGGGCCTGGGAGGGAAAGAGCCTAACCAAGATCATCTTCAGATTGTCCTCCTGGCATAAGGATGAGGCTGCTTGTCCCATCCTTATGCCAGGAGGAAAACGAGACACGTTGCGACTGCCCTGATCCTCCTCCCCGATCTTTTGGCTGTCCTCCCCGCATTTTGCCAGAAGGATGGTGAGACATGCTACAGCCGAGAGCACGATAGGACACTCAGCCACTGCTTGCCTTCCTCGGGTCGTCCTCCTGGCATAAGGACGGGGCTGCTTGTCTCATCCTTATGCCAGGAGGAAAACGAGACATGTTGCGACTGCCCTGATCCTCCTCCCTGATCTTTCGGCTGTCCTCCCCGCATTTTGCCAGGAGGACGGTGAGACGTGCTACAGCCGAGATCACTCTGGAGGAATCTCAGCCACTACTTGCCTTCCTCGGGCCGTCCTATCGGCTTAAGGATGGGGCTGCTTGCCCCATCCTTATGCCAGGAGGAAAAACGAGACATGTGGTGACTGCCCTGATCCTCCTCCTCGATCTTCCTCACTGATCTTTCAGCTGTCCTTCCGACATTTTGACAGGAGGACGGTGAGACGTGCTACAGCCGAGATCACTCTGGAGGACTCTCAGCCACTGCTTGCTTTCCGTGGGCTGTCCTCCTGGCATAAGGATGGGGGCTGCTTGTCCCATCCTTATGCCAGGAGGAAAACGAGGCATGTGGTGACTGCCCTGATCCTCCTCCCAGATCTTCCTCACTGATCTTTCTGCTGTCCTTCCGGCATTTTGCCATGAGGACAGTGAGACAAGCTACAGCTGACAGCACTCCAGGGGACTCTCAGCCACTGCTTGCCTTCCTCGGGCCGTCCTCCTGGCATAAGGATGGGGCTGCCAGGAGGAAAACAAGACATGTGGCAACTGCCCTGATCCTCCTTCCCGATCTTCCTTCCCCGATCTTTGGGCTGTCCTCCCAACAATTTGACAGGAGAATGGTGAGGCAAGTTAAAGCTTCCTCGGGCCGTCCTCCTGGCATGAGGATGGGGCTGCTTGTCCCATCCTTATGCCAGGAGGAAAACGAGACATGTTGTGACTGCCCTGATCCTCCTCCCCGATCTTTTGGATGTCTTCCCCGCATTTTTCCAGGAGGACGGTAAGACATGCTACAGCCGAGAGTACGGTGGAGGACACTCAGCCACTGCTTGCCTTCTTCGGGCCGTCCTCCTGGCATAAGGATGGGGCTGCTTGTCCCATCCTTATGCCAGGAGGAAAACAAGACATGTGGCGACTGCCCAGATCCTCCTCCCCGATCCTCCACCCCTGATCTTCGGACTGTCCTCCTGGCATTTTGCTGCCCTGATCCTCCTCCTCGATCCTCCTCTCCCAATCTTTGGGCTGTCCTCATTTTCCCAGGACGACGGTGAGACAAGCTGCAGCCAAGAGCACTCCGAAGGTCTCTCAGCCACCGCTTGCCTTCCTTGGGCCGTCGTCTCGGCATAAGGATGGGGCTGCTTGCACCTCCTTAGGCCGGAGTGGGGGTGAGACATGTGGTAGCTGAGAGTGCTCCAGAGAACTTTCAGTTGCTGCGTGCCTTCTTCCCTTGTTCTTTCTGCCTATGGATGTGTTCTTATGATGAGAGGACAGAGAAAACTAGAGGGCCTGAGGGAAGTGCTCAGGGGGCTGCATCTGGCCCCAATGCCTTCAGATGGATGGCCATCTGTCAGGGGTGATTTGAATGCAATATTCCTGCTTCTTGGCAGAATGGGGTTGGACTGGATGGCCCAGGAGGTCTCTTCCAACTCTTTCATTCTATGATTCTATGATTTGCCCATGCCTGTTCTACTGTATTAGCAAGACTCTGCTTTGCGCACACAACTGGGAGAACATTCATCCTTGAAGTTGTGATTTTTAATCATTTTACGAATCCAGTGTTATCCATTTCCAAACAAGTTACATTTCCTTCATCAACGCCTTTCAACAGACTGATGGGGATCCCAAATTTTGCTTGACTTCTTCCAACTCTGAAACCTGGATTTTGTGAAGAACATTATCCTGGATTCTCTTTCAAAATGTGGCAGAATCTTTCCCATACCTATTTCTGTAAATGCCAGAGAACGCATTAATCTGTCTTATTTTGCCTTTGGAGGTGTTCCCATTGAGTACACACTCCTGTTCATTTCGGTTCTCGGAAAGTGAATGACTTTTTGGGGCAAACGAGGAGCTGCCTTGAGAAACTGGGCCAAAATCCCTTCGCTGCTCGAGATCTCGTGTCCCTCGTTCTTTACAAAAGGAGATATAAAAGCTTTCAAACACAACAGTTATTTAAGAAGGATAACTGTTTCGTTTCCCCTGTTAGGACACCCACGCGCTTGAATTAACCAGCTCTGGTTAAAATGGATATGTAGAAAAACACCTTTGTCAAACCCACCAGGATCAACCCCTCCACACTGTCATTCTGGTCAAATGACAGGGAGAGAGATGTGTGTTCCTGGGAGGAAGAAGTGTCCATTGGTTAATCGGGTTATTCCAAGATACTTCCAGTCGAGCAGCGGAGAGCTACTTGCAAAGTCCTTTGGTTTGAGAAATCGCGCTCCTCAGAGAAGCCGCCTATAAACAAGGCTCTTAAAATACTGCATCGTTCATTCCGCAGGACGTCGAGAAGGTGGTTCAGTGCAAACGTGTGCCGCGACGAGGATCTCCCGCCTCAGCAGGAGCAGTTCCCGCAGCCCTTGACGCTGTTGATGATCTCCTCCTGCAGCTTCCGGCGGTCCTCCTCCTTGGAGGAGAGGCCGCCCCGCTCCTCCCACCGCTCCTGGGGGTCCCTGCTCAGCATCCGGCTGCTCTGCGTGTGCCACATCTCGTAGTAGAGGCTGCCGGGGAGCCGCAACAGATCGACGTGCCTGCCACGCTCCGCCACTTGGCCCTGTTTGAGGAAAAAACAAAATCGGTGATCAAATGCGATCAAAAATTACATCCCGTTTAGACTACTGCAACGCTCTCTACGTGGGGTTGCCCTTGAAGACGGCCCGGAAGCTCCAACTAGTCCAACGCTTCGGCAGCCATGATTTTAACAGGAGCGGAGCACAGGGAGCATACAACCCCCCTGTTGTGCCAACTCCACTGGCTACCGATCTGCTACCGGGCTGAATTCAAAGTGCTGGCGTTGGCCTTTAAAGCCCTAAACGGTTCCGGCCCAAGCTACCTATCCGACCGCATCTCTGCCTATGAACCCACCAGGACTTTGAGATCTTCCGGAGGCCCTGCTCTCGATCCCGCCTGCTTCTCAAGCACGGCTGGCGGGGACGAGAGATAGGGCCTTCTCGGTGGTGGCTCCTCGGCTGTGGAACGCCCTTCCCACAGACATTAGACTAGCACCATCTCTAATGGTATTCCGCAAAAAAGTGAAGACCTGGCTGTTTGTGCAGGCGTTCGAATAATTAGTGCAATGATTGGTAAATGAACATAGGAATGGAACAATGGATGACGAATCTGGATTATGTTTTTGATGATGATACGATAGTGATTGGTTATTGTAGTAATTGTTTATTAATTGTGTAATGTGTTAAGTTGTTAACTGTTTTTATACTGTTGCATTGAATTTTTGCTGTCCTTATTGGTTGTGAACCGCTGTGAGTCACCTTCGGGCTGAGAACAGCGGTATAGAAGTAAAGTAAATAATAATAATAATAATAATAATAATAATAATAAATGGTGGCGGGATATAAATAAAGTTATTATTATTATTATTATTGACTCCTAGAATACTGACATCCACATCATACTAATACTAACATACTATCATACTAATACTAACATCCACATCATGAGGAGACAGGAAAGCCTAGAGAAGAGAATGATGCTGGGGAAAGTAGAAGGCAAAAGGAAGAGGGGCCGACCAAGGGCAAGGTGGATAGATGGCATCCTTGAAGTGACTGGACTGACCTTGAAGGAGCTGGGGGTGGTGACGGCCAACAGGGAGCTCTGGCGTGGGCTGGTCCAGGAGGTCACGAAGAGTCGGAGACGACTGAACAATGTGGCTGATCCAGCAAACATGATGATGAAGATATATTTACAATATAACAGTGTTTCTCAACCTGGGCATTGGGACCCCCTGGGGGGGGTGTCAAAAGGGGGTTTCAGAGGGGTTGCCAAAGACCATCAGAAAACACATATTTCTGATGGTCTTAGGAACACCGTTGGCAGAGAAGGCTGAAGATCTCTCCGACTTTGTTGCCGGACTTCAGGATGCTCTTTAATTGTAGGTGAACTATAAATCCCAGCAATGACAAGTCCCAAACGTCAAGGTCGATTTTCCCAAACTCCACCACATTTTGGGCATATTGAGTATTTGTACCAAGTTTGGTCCAGATCCATCATTGTTTGAGTCCACAGTGCTCTCTGGATGTAGGTGAACTACAACTCCCAAACTCCAGGTCAATGCCCACCAAACCCTTCTAGTATTTTCTGTTGGTCATGGGAGTTCTGTGTGCTAAATTTGGTTCAATTCCATTACGCAAAGTAAGCATTTGCAGTATAGTTGATTTTGCCCAGGGGTGCTCTTGAGGTGCTCTTGAGGGGAAACAGACCTTGACATATGCGAGTTGTAGTTACTGGGATGTATAGTTCACCTACAATCAAAGAGCATTCTGAACTCCACCAATGATGGAATTGAACCAAATATGGCACACAGAACTCCCACGAACAGAAAATATATATCAGTGATTGGTGGGAGGGGGGCGGATACTGTTTGCTTACCATTGAAAATTACCTCTGGTGCCAAGTTTGGTTTAATTCCATCGTTAGTGGGGTTCAGAATGCTCTTTGATTGTAGGTGAACTATAAATCCCAGCAACTACAACTCCCAAATGACAAAATCAATTTTTTTGAGTGAAGGACATACATTGGGTTGTTAGGTGTCTTGTATCCAAATTTGGTGTCAATTCATCCAGTGGTTTTTGAGTTCTGTTAATCCCACAAACGAACATTACATTTTTATTTATATACTAGCCGTCCCCTGCCACGCGTTGCTGTGGCCCACATGGGGTCTGTGTGGGAAGTTTGGCCCAATTCTATCATTGGTGGGTTTCAGAATGCTCTATGATTGTAGGTGAACTATAAATCCCAGCAACTACAACTCCCAAATGTCAAGGTCTATTTTCCCCAAACTCCACCAGTGTTCACATTTGGGCATATTGAGTATTTGTGCCTAGTTTGGTCCAGATCCATCCTTGTTTGAGTCCACAGTGATCTCTGGATGTAGGTGAACTACAACTCCAAAACCAAAGGACACTGTCCACCAAACCCTTCCAGTATTTTCTTTTGGTCATTTTTATTTATATACTAGCTGCCCCTGCCACGTGTTGCTGTGGCCTAGTCTGTGTATATGTGTTTTGTGTGTGTGTATATATGTGTGTTTGCATATATATATATATATATATATATATATATATATGTGTGTGTGTGTGTGTGTGTGTGTGTGTGTGTGTGTGTGTATATTTGTGTGTTTATATGTGTACATGCATATTGTATATGTGTGTATATATTTGTGTATATATAGGTGTGTATGTGCGTGTATATTTGTGTATATGTGTATTTGTATGTATATATGTGTGTGTGTGTATGTGTGTATATATTTGTGTACATATTTGTGTATTTGTGTGTTTATATGTACACATGCATACTGTGTATATGTGTGGGCTTGTGTATATGTATATATGTGTGTATATGTATTTGTGTGTGGTTGCGCATATATATATATACTGTGTATGAATGTGTGCTTGTGTATATGTATATGAGTGTATGTATATATGGTGTATTTTTGAGTTTTTAAGTCTGTTACACTGGGGGTTTGTGTGTGTGTGTGTGTTTATGGGTGATGGTCACTCGTTGGACTGTTAGGTGTGTTGTGTCCAAATTTGGTGTCAATTCGTCCAGTGGTTTTCGAGTTGTGTTAATCCCACAAACAAACATTACATTTTTGTTTATATAGACTAGCCATCCGCTGCCATGCGTTGCTGTGGCCCAATCTGTGTATATGTGTTTGTGTGTGTATATATATGTATGTGTGTGTATATTTGTGTATATATGTGTGTTTGCATATGTGTGTGGGTGTATATATATATGTATGTGTGTGTATATATTTGTGTATATATGTGTACATGCACAGATACATATATACATATACACATGCACACACACATACATACCCACATACATACATATACACACAAATATGCATATAGACAAGCACACAAAAATMCAGTATGCATGTACACATACAAACACACAWAT